GGAAAGGGAAAGCGAGCCCCCTTCGGAGACGCGTCCGAGAAGCTGAGGCCAGACCCGGAGGCCGACAGCAGCCGGCGGGCGCCCATCACGCCGGGGCCCTGGAAGGTGCCCAGTGCCAGCAAGGCCTCGGGCTCGACGGGGGCGGCCGAGAGACGGCTGTGACCGGTCGTGTAAGCGTTTCCCCCCAAAGGTCGTTCTTCCGGAAACCCTCACGCCTGAGAACAGCCTGACTTCAGGCACCGGGGCCGCATGAAGGGCCCTGTTTGCTGAGCCGCCGGCCCCGGGCCGCCTGCCTCGCCCCCGTGCTGTCCCCGCAGATGGCCTACGTGACGTTAACTGTGGTCACAGCTCAGTTAGGTCTGTGCCAAGCTCTCGGCCGCCCCGCGTCCACTTCCTCCTCCTCGCGAGTGTTCCCACGGCAGTGACGCCGAGGCGTGGCCTGGAAGCCGTGTTCTCATCGCATGTTGCATGTTTACAGAGGCCCATCGAGTCCCCAAGGAGGGGCCTCTCGTGGCTACAGATGGCGGTGCCTCTTCCGACGGCTCCCGCTGGCGTTCTGCCGCAGAGAAACGCGGGCAGTCGGAGCCTGGCCTCCGCGGTTCGGTGTCAGTGCCGCGGGGGAAGGTGTTCCAAGTACCTTACAGGTGTTACTTACAACGGCCCGTTCTGCAGGAGGCCGCACGCAAGCCCAGCAGCGTCCTCCTGGCCCCCAGCCGGGATCGTGCCGCTCCTGTGGGAACACCGTGTGCTCCTGGCCGAAGAACTAGCAGGCTCCGGTGTCTGGCCGTTCTGGTGGCCCCTCCTGAGTCACTGGTTAATTCGTGTTTGAAGCGTCACAACCAGAACCCGTCTCAGTGATGCCAGCAGCTTCAGAGGCTGTGCCCTCAGCCCCCTCGCAGCTGAGGACACGCAGGGGACAGACAGGCTGGGCCTCCCTCGCTCCACTGACTCCGAATAAAGACAAGAAAGGGAGCCCAAACCTCCGGTCCCTGTGCGGACCCGCGGTCTCAGGAAAGGTGCCGTGGGAGGTGGAGGCAGGGTTTAACCACAGGAGAGCCGTGTTTTTCAGCCCCTGGAGCAGCGCTCAGTAGCAGCTAGAAATCGAGGAACTTAGAACAAAACCCTGTGGGGGTGTCTGGACACTCGGGTTCCTCTGGTTGTTGTGAAACATCGTGTCCAGGCCCCTCCCTCCCCCACAGCATCCAGCTGTGACGTTCCCTCCTGGGACGTTGGACTCAGCCCTGTCCCGACCCCCCTCCCGTGACCCGGAGCAGCGCAGAACTAGGCTCGGTTACGCTCAGAGTTAGCGTCACAGACACGATTTACTTCCCCGTAGCCCACGGTCAGTGATAACAATCCTATTCTTGTTGTTAACTGTGACATGACTTGGATGTCATGGTTGTCAGTCTGTGGCTGTTTCCTAGGTAACCCGTCACTGTATTGATTCTGTTCTGACTTAGCAATGTGGCCTTGGAATGCTAAGCAAATCTGGATGTACTGGTTGTAAATGTTTATATACTGTACAGTACCTTTATATATACACCTGAGGTTCTGATTAGAGAAAGATCTGTAAATGGCTCGCTATTTTTTATATAGATATTAAAAAAAAATCAAAAACCAACACGTGGTCTGAGTCCTCAAATAGATTTGGTCCCTCCAGGTAACACACACAGCCCTGCCGTCAAGAAAACCTTATGATGAAGACTTTACCCGAACATGTTTAACTCTGAACCTGCTTTATACCTTTCATTGTGAAGAAAATAGCTTTGCATAAGTAACTTACTGCCACCCAAAATCCTTATACATACTGGAAACGCACTACTAGCCTTTTCTCACGGGGACAGCGTAAGCCGTTACCACAAGGTCACAAAAGCTATTTTCATCAGACGATGTGGTTTCACATTAGAATAACTTAAAAGTATTTACTACAGGTTACACTTATTTTTAGAAGGAAGCGTTCTGACTTGATTTTAATTCTTGGTATGAATAGGCCTCAAACCTATTTCAAGACATGGTTACTTAAATCTTCTTAAAGGGGAAAATGAGTTCCTACCATCGCATGAACCCAGCACTGAGAGCAAAGCCCAAGCCCACAGTGGAGATGGGACACAGCGGAGGATGCAGGACGTGGCAGCGAGTCGTTTTCTTGTTATTTGGGTGGATATTATTTTCTTACCACAAGACAGTTCTGGGTGCTGTTATGTAGTCTCACTAGGAAGAGCAGACCCAGCTCCTATAACAGTGATGGCGAACCGGTGACATGAAAACTCATTTTTTTGGTTGATTTTTCTTTGTTAAATGGCATTTAAATATATAAAATAAATATCAAAAATATAAGTCTGTGTTTTACTATGGTTGCAGATATCAAAAAATTTCTCTATGTGACACGGCACCAGAGTTAAGTTAGGGTTTTTCAAAACGTTGACACACCGAGCTCAAAAGGTTCGCCATCACTGGCCTATAACGTTATCTGCTCTAACCTAGTGACGCCGCTGCACAGTCAACTCTCTCAGAAGCCCTGGACGCAGAGAAGCACTGGCTGTTTATTTCTACAGGAGACTCTTGGTTCTTTCTTTTTTAATAGTAAGGTAGTCGCCTGCAGAAAAGGCCAAGTGCTCCTACACACATGGCTACGTGAATTTCATGTGTCACAGGTCCCACATGCAAAGAGACTAGGTTTACAGAAGCCAGGGTATTCAGTTTAGCTAAACTGACCGTCTGACCTCCCCAGCGTGTTCCTGACCACGGGACATGGTGTAAACACAGACTCCAGCCACAAAACATGATGTTCAGTCTGAAGAATACAGCGGAGCACCTTAACCGTGGCGTGCTCCGGGCCCGGGAACGGACTGTGCTGCTAAGCAGTAACAGGTTTATTTACTGAGCAGCTCTCTCCTGCTCCTGCTCTTGAGGATTATCAGCAACACAATGACTTGCAGAAAGCATGCCACAGTGATCACATGAAACCCGTCATCTTTGCTTTCACTAACTCAAAGATTCCCACTCCCTTGGACCTCTTTTTGATGCTGCTGTGCAAACGGAGCCATAAGAAAGGAATTCTAGCTACTAGGGAACTCAATCTTGCTCACATAGACACCAAAAGACAAAAAACTGCCAAGTGCTTTCACTGAGCCTAATGCTTCCCTCCAAGTCAAGCAGAACCCTTAGCAAACACACAAATCAAGAGGCCTATTTTGCCCCTAATAAACCACCACTGTTACCTTGAGTGATGTCTTGTTACAGCTGCAGGCCCCGGACATGCGCAGGGAAGGGTGGAAGTTCTTGTGAAATTCAGACGTCGCCATTCCCGGCGGGCACCAGTAACTGCGAAAGGCAAAGGGTTCCTTTAAATGACTCAACGAGCCAGTGCGTGTGTAGAGGAGATGAGGTTTAATACATTTTCTCGATAATCCCAAGTCATACATTACGTTTCAAAGTGAGACCCATTCGGTCCATTATGAATATGTAGATCTAAAAAATGTCAAGAACGAATTTCATTCATTGAAAAGAGGTTAATTTTACAGTCCCCTTACCTCTAAATGCAATGAACCAAAACTAAAAGCATAATCCATCAGCTTATGCTTTGGGAGAGAACCTGGAACTGAGAGTTCTCCTGTGTCTCTGAAAATCAAGAAAACCAGTCCCCATCAGGCCAGTCTCTGGTCATTCACCTTTTCAAAGTGATTCGCTTGGATTTCCACGGGCCACAACGTACACGTTCAGGGAGTCGGAGGTTGTCCCTCCAGAGCAATCGGGGAATACCTTTTCCCAATACAACAAATGACAAAATTAAGTGAACCTCCTGTGGTTATTACTATTCCAATTAAATGTATGAATAGTTCTGTCTTTACATTTTGATTTCTCAGGGACATGAATGTCAGAGTATGTGATATCACTGCTTTTGGGGATCACAGCAAAAGCCCAAGTTCCTAGAAATCATTATACAGATAACAAAGCACTGAGGGTGAGCGAGTCATGAAGTGACACTTTCCCCTCCCAACAGGAGAAACAATTGCCTGAGTGGTAAATTACTCGAGGTCTGTTTGTCATTTATTCTACAGATTTCTATCGAGTACCTATGATGGGGTCAGGTACTTACTGTCCTGCGTTCTGGGCACCTAGAGATGAACAAAAATAGCGCCTGCCTGAAGGGGCTCAGCCTGTGGAAAGGTCGAACAAGGAGGCAAAACAGAAACGGTCATCAGACTGGGAGAAGCACCGGGAAATGGACCTTCACCAGGGCCATCAGAGACGGCCCCACGGTGGACCCGGCAGCTGACAGGCCATCCGAAGGAGGGCCTAGAAAACACATTCGAGAAGTCACATGGTGCAGGGGGGGACCGGGAGGTAAGGGGTTGAGGTGACCTGGAGAGGGGAGCAGGTGTGATGGTGAATGGCTTGGAGGCCGCCACAGGAAGCCAGGAAGGGTTCCAGGAGGAGGATGTCATCAGGGTCTCCATATTTTTAAGTTCACTCGTGTGGCTGTGGAGACCGACTGGGAGGCAGGAATGGAAGGGCCGTGGTTCAGCATCGGGTCCCGGGGGAAGTGCGAGGCCTCACCCGGAGCCCTGGAGTGTAGAACCGACAGGACGTGGCGGTGGGTTAGACGTGGAGGAAAAGAGGCGTCGAGAATAAACCCGGAGCCTCTGGCTTGAACAACTAGGAAAACTTTGTTCTACTTACTGAGAAAAACATTTATTCTTCCACTTGCCGCATGCCCCCCATCACAGTGCTAGTGCCCCATAGCCAAGGTGAGTCACAGGGGACACCCACCACCCCGGGGTACACACAGCACCTTCCTTAACCGAAGTGACGCCCAGGCCACTGTGATCCCAGAGGCCCAATAGTGCAGGTGAGAAAAATAAAATTTGTGCTATACCGCCACCTGCTGGACAATAGACGAAAGCACACCACCTGTCAGCCTGCTGAATTGTATGTTCACAGCAGCACAGTTTACAACAGCTAAGACTTGGAAATAGCCTAAGTGCCCATCAGCAGATGAGTGGATAAAAACACCATGGTACCTTTACACAATGGTAATAAAAAAGAAAAAACTCTTACCGTTTCCAACAGCATGGATGGACCTGGAGAGCATTATACTGAGTGAAATAAGCCAGTCAGAGAAAGACAAGTATCACATGATCTCACTCATATATGGAATC